GCCGCCGGGGTGTACCGCGAGGAATGATGGGACCTTGATCTTGGTCCATCGGCAATGCGCGTGCAGCACCTCTTGGAGACCCGGGCACACGCTTATGTTATGTGTGGTGCTGGCCACCTCGGTCATTGGAACGTCTATGTGAAGAAGTTTATGGGTTACTATTGCAAGCGCCCTTCCGATGGGTTTCGGCCACCCTCGGTTCAAGAGGCTGAAGCAGCAGACCGTGTGGCAATGGAGGAAGCGTTTGGGTTGTGTTTTGGTGGTCATGATTTGAATGATGCGTTGAATCATGTTTCGATGGATCGTGACTTGTTGCGTCATCTGCTTGTGGAGAAGCCTAAAGTGTCCTCGAGGCCGCCGCTTAAGCGACCAGCGCCTTTCCCGGGAGGCAAAACGCGCCCAGACAAGCCGGACAAGGACAAGCGGCCGCGCAACGGTGAGTGCTGGGGCTGGCGTGAAGGACGTTGCACCAATTCATCCTGCAAGTTCAAGCATGAGTGCGCGAAGTGCGGATCCAAGAATCACCACTCTGGCGAGTGCGACCAGGGCAAGCGTGTGCAGTGATCAGAGGATGTGGTGACAGATTTAGCTTGTGATGGTGCAGCTGTGTCGTCAGAGCAGAGCAAATCGCTGATAGAAGCTTCGCCGTCACCAGAACCTGTTGCTGTTGCGGGGAATCCCCCTGTCTGTGCCGAGTCTGCTACTGCGTTTCGGTGGCGGTTACGTGATGGTGGAGAGTGGCTGCGTTTGATCCATGATTGGCATTTGGTTCCACGGCTTGTGAAAACAGTTGCCGAGCGTTCCAAAGACGCCTGGCTGAGTGAAAAAGAGATACACATTCTTCGTGAGGTGTTGGTATCTTTTCTGAGAAGTCGGGGTTTGAAGTGTTCGGCAGCTGTCGAGCCTGGCCAGCCCTTGGCCTTGGAGCTTTGGGAAGGTTTATTTCGCTTGTGTGGTGATGTGGATCAACAGTTGCCCTCTCTGCTACGTGAAGGGGTTCCCACGGGCATTTTGCGTACCATCCCGCCTTCGGGGGTTTGGCGGGAAACTGAAGTACCGGAGCGCCCAAATCTTGAGCTGCACACTTTCGACACCCCGCGGGGGTCTGCGCGGGAAGATTGCCGTACTGCTTGCGAGTTGGTTGAGGAGGATGTCAAGGCCGGTTTCGCTGTGTGGTTGGATGGCGGCCTCGCAGAAGCCAAGAGGCAGTTTGGTGATAACTGTGCAGCGGGCCGCCTGGGGGTCGTCAAGAAAGCCGGGTCCGCTCCCCGTGTAATTGGTGACAGTTCGATTTCAAACGCAAATCATCTTTGCCGCATATCGGAGAAGGTGGAGATGCCGTCTCTTGAAGATGTTTCGCAGTTTCTTTCGAGGAGGCAAGGTGTGCGCTGGATTGCCTTTCTCATGGATATCAGCAAGGCACACAAGCGGGTCAAAGTCGCGCCCAAGGAGCGCGGGTTTTCTTTGTTTGCTGTCATGGAACCTGGTGGAAGGAGGAGGTGGGTGGTCTACAACACTTGCCATTTTGGATGTAGCTGGGCCGCCTACTGGTGGAGCCGTGTAGCAGTCGGATTCATACGCTTGGGTCATCGCGTTCTTTGGCATGGGCACTTTCTCGTGATTTATGTCGACGATTCACTGTCACTCTTTCCAGCAAGTTCCGCGCCGATCATGGCATGTTTGCAGGCGGTTTTAGCTTGTGCGCTTGGGCTCCCACTGTCGTGGCACAAGATGGACTTGGGCTCGCCCGTGAAGTGGATAGGGTGGTGTTTGCGATTGGATGGGGTGCCTGTCGCAACGCTACCCGATGAGAAGGCAGCAAGACTTTGCTCTGTGCTACGTCAACTGGCTTCAAGCACCAAGTGTTGCAGTCGCAAGGAGATCGAATCTTTCCTAGGGCTACTGATTTGGTTCACTGGCGGAGCGAGGTGGCTGAAGCCCTGGCTGAGTGTTTTCTTCCATATGCTGCGCAAGCCAACGCTGCGGTTTCTGCAACTTGATCGTCGGCAGTTGGCTGAATTAGAGGACCTGCTGCAGACCGACCTGGCAGTGAAAGCAGATGCTGTGTTGTCGGATGCCCGGAAGGGTTGGAAGCTATTGGAGTGCAGCGGGCATGAGGCCCGCCCTGCGAGTTGGCAAGATCTTTTGCGTTGGAAAAATGGCATGGCTTGGCTGAAGTTTGGTGATTGGACCTGCGACTCGGTGAAACCATGTGCAGAGGAGAAGCAAGTTGCTGGCTTCTTCTTGCAACTCATCGAGGCTAGAGTGCGGGTGCAGTTGGTTGAGCTGGAGCAAAAGGCCATCGTGGCAGCCGCAGATGCCTTTGCTGATGCGCATGAAGCAGGCTTGGGAGGCTGGTGGCTGCCTGCCGGCAGCCCGCTCGAGGTCGGCCAGATACGCTGGTTCTCTTTCAAGGTTCAACTGGCAGATCTTCCATCTTGGTTTCGACCGCAGCGTCAGAGTGGTCAACCTGGCAGCATG